GGGAGCAAAGCGGGGCTGGAGGAGCCCTCAGGGGCACGGGCATCCAGCCGCCCCCTTTTAGCCGCTTGTCCCTGGCGCCTGTGGCCAAAGTGAGGTGAGGCGGCGAGCCCGAGAGCATCAGCGGCTCGCTCGGGGTGTCCGCTCGGCTGTCCCAGCAGCGGATCCGAATGCGGAGTGAAGGGCAGTTCGAGTCAGGATTTCCATATCGGGCTATATCAGGGAGGAAGATTTATCCCAATTAATGAGATTCGTTACCTCAACTAGCTTGCGCACTGAATTGGACGTAGCGTCTGCGTGTGAAAGGGGCAACTGGGGAGCAGAAACCAGATTTGCAAAGGAGCAGCTGTGGTTTCTACTTCAGCTAATCAAATATGGTAGGGAGCGCCTTTTTCCCAGTGAAGGGACTCTTTAGCCTAATACTAAGTATTTGCTAGAATAACACACACAACAATAACGAATGCAGGTTGGCAAAAACCCTTATAAAACTGAGTATCGAGAATAGCCTTACTCCTACAACCTGTAATTGAATTGCGTAGTCCTTAGTAATCCAGCAATCCTGTTAACTTCAGAGGGATCGTTAGAACAGATTCTTCTCTGAGTTAAAAGTTGCAGAGTCAGATCCAGACTTTTCTAATAGGATACATAATCAGTGTAATCAGTAATACTGCAATGTATTTCTGTTGTTTAGGAGCTGAAAAGGGTTTAAAACATGTTGTGTGTTTTCATCCTTTTCTCTGACAGCCAGGCTGAAAGGGTAAGTAAAAATATAGTTGTTTCTTTTTGAAATTAAGTATCAGAAAAATTACCTGTATCTAAAATATACCCAAAAAACCTCTTTTAAAACTAGTAAGATTGATCAGAAATCATATTGCTTAAGCTTGAAAATTACTTAAAGGACCTATTCCAAAGCCATCTTCACAACCTTGTTTGTCTAGATAAACATTAGCTGTCATTTTATTTTTTTCTGTGTTTATTTTCTTTGTTGTTAACTTAACTATACGATATGCTCTTTTCCTTGGCTTGAGAAGATTTGGTTCTGCTGGTACCCAGCATCCTTTCTGTCTGTGGACACTTAGGGTGCTATATAAAGTAATGAGAGCTGATGATCTGGGGCTCTGAGCATCTGTTCGCTGTGACAGTACTTTCACCGAAGCACTAGGGCTGCACAGAAGTTGACTGTCAAGGACAGAATTTGGCCTCTAAAGATTTTTGCACCCCATATGGACAAATCTCCACCCACGCCCTAGTTGAAGTCCATGCAGGCTTTTGGAGTCAGGCTTAAGTAACTGTCACCAGGGCATATGTAGAAACCAGGGTGGGAAGAGCACTTCCTGAATGCTAAACAGTCTGTGCGGGTCTCAGCTGCCCACTCCCTTGAAGGGGGGAAACAAACACCAAACCAATAATCTCCACTGTATGTGAATGCCTTCTGTTTCCACATCATTCTTACCTAAAACCTCTCCTTTTCCATGAAAGTAACATATCCAGCTTCTTTTCCACAGCCTGATTCCCCTGCCTTTTAGAGCTGCAACCTGTAACTGCTCCATTAACCTCAACTCCAGGTTCTGCGTTTTAACCTGTGCTGGTGTTACTGCTGGGATGTACACCCTCCCTCTCTTTCTCGGCTTGTTTCCTAGAGCTGCTGAGGGTTAACACTGAGATACAAGAGTGGGTTATTTTCTTCTCTCACAGAAGACACCTTTATAGCCTGCAGCAGAGCTTGCCTGAGATCCTGTCAGAAGAGATAAAGACCGATAAAAGTGGAGTTGTCATCAATTTCCACTTCCTAGAATGGGCCTGTTGGTTTGTAGCAGGGCATGGTTCAGCACCTTGTTTGCCTGTGTCATGTCCTCCTTAAGTGCTCTCAATTCAGACAATGTTTTCACTCTAAAAGTAGAGTCTGGGCTCTGACACACACCCGAATTAAATGACAGGTTTGTCTTCAGTCTCTTCTGCTGCCCCATTTACAACTCCAGCACTAGTTTCCTCACTTCTTTCTCACCTTTGGGGGCACAAACTTTACCATTTCTAATCTTACCTCCTTGACTATATTTTTAGAATCAACCTGTCCCAAGTTCTCCCTGCTGTGATAATAACCTTTTCTTGTTCCTTACCTCCTTTGTGAAAGAAATCTCTTTCCCATGACAGGACTAAGAGGATAGCTAGTAGAATGGACACTTAATGGCATCAGGGTGTTGATATATTGGCATTACAAGAGCAGCCCCCTCAAACTAACTGCTGGTCACTTACAGGTGTGAGGATTGCTTGGCACTTTTAGCAGATGGAGATCTGTTTTCCCCAGGGTCCTGTCTGGAACTCCTGGCTGTAGGGTCACTGTTCTCCGCAGCACTCTTCTGCAGTTCCAGCCAGATGCCATCAGTTCTCCTGCTTCCTGTTGCTCCCAGCAGCTATATCGTGTTGCGGTACAATTAGTTGGCTCGCTCAACCCCAGAGGTGCCTCACTCAGACTTTCCCTATCCTTTCTCACGTAGGTGAGACCACAGGCATCAGGGCAGGAGTGTGGGGTGCAGGTGCTGAGTTAGGAGGCTCATGTGACAGAAGAGACTTCTCTGGTGCAAGGCAGTGTGTCACTGAGCTCTTTGGCTCCTGATCTGCAGTGGTGTCTTTTCCTCCCTGCTGTGAACCCAAAGAGCACTTAGCTGGCAGTGAGCTGCCAGTTGTATCTGAGCCTTGGCTCAGGTGGACTGGCTGTATCTGACTCATGGAATCCGAGCTAGAAGGAGGCTGTGGGACAGCTCTGAGAAATGAATCAGTTAGGTATTTCTAATACCAGCACTGCAGTCTGATAGTTGAACAAACTTTGTTGGGCCCGTCTCAGTACAGCAACTTCAGTTGTCTTTGTTTTAAAGATCCGTTTGTCAGACCAGTCATCTTAATTCCACAGGGCCTTAGATTTGTCAGAACTTCAAAACAGCCTCTCAAAAGCTGTTCCTGCCTGCTTGTTTGTTCCTAACTCCCTCTTTATGTTGGCACATTTCTGTTTAATCATTTGCATGTTTCAAACAACATATGCGGTCAAGCTGTGACAATCTTGGCTCATCTGCCTGCGATAGTAACGAGTTCTTTGACTGCATTTGTTACCCTTGGATTCAGATGCTTTGTCTGTGTATTAGTTTCCCTAAGCAGAGACAACGAGCAAAAGGGTGTTAGAGGTCATGGGACAGCAAAGGATGGAACTTGCTTTCTGAGGGGGTCACCTCTTCTAATTGGGATCCTAACTAGCCATGTACAGTATGTTGGCTTTGGCCGGGTCAGTGACTAGCATAGTGACGAGTGTTCCCATACAGCTATACTTCTCTTTAGTTTATTTGGGAAGTTGATTATTTATACAGCTTGCTTTAAGTAGCTTGTACGTACCTGGACATATAACACCGTATGGGACAGCCTGTACCTACTTCAGGAGTATTAAACAACAAGGTTCGCAGCTGTTCTTAGACATTTTTGCATGGCCCTTACCTTCGCAAACCGATAAGCTTTTCGTCTGCAGTAACACTTCCAGCCTGTCCCCAGAGACACCGAAGGCTAGTGCTCGATTGCATGCCACTGTGCAGCCTCCAGAGCAAACTCCCCTCTCATTGTGTCCTGCTTATCACCTGCCTGTTTCATTTGCCAAAAAGCAGCCATCAAGCCTGGTTCTGAATTGCTCCCCGAGGCCCCCCCTTTTCTTTCGCTTTCCCTGTAAGTTGCACCCAGTGAGGAGTCATGCTGAGCCAGTGTGTCTCATTCTCCTTTGGTCTGAACTAGAGAGAATGTCTCATTTCCAGGCACAGCCAAATAAAGTTTGTTACAGCCTGGCTCATGGAAAGCCTAGAAAATGTTGATCAGAGAACCTCAGTCTGGTCTGCCCAGATTTCTAAGAAATGTGAAGGAGGATTTCTGAAGTAATTCAGTATTCGTTGTGCTTTTGTCGTAAACGGTGCTCTGGGAATGTGGAACAGAAAACGCACATTAAAAGGGATTAACAGTTTGTAGCTAATTCAGCAAATTTCTGTTCATATGAGTTCAAGTTGCTTCATTGTTGAACTGAGAATATCTTTTAAAAATAGATGTGTGTGAACCTGGTGAAGTCACTGAGATGGCTCAAGTAAGTATGCAGCTGCAGAACTGTGGCTTTAATTTAGTTTATGACTTCATAGTGAGCAAGGTAGCAGAAACCTGAGAAATCATATGGTTGAAAATGACTGAAATTTGTTATAAAAGTTGGACAGACCAAATGTCATACACAGATGCTGCGTTCTGTATATATTGCCTAGCCCTTGGAAATAAACAGATGTAACATTTAAGGCTTTAACAGTTAATGGTATCTATGTCTAGTGCTGAAAACTGGAAGCTTGCTCCAAGGGCCCTTTCAAGCAGATGGAAGTAAATGAATTTCAAAGAGCTTTGCATCAGACCCCAACCACTCCCCTAAACCTCTTATTTTTTTCTTGAATGCTGTCTAAGTTACGCTATTTAATTTAAGCCTCTTAATAAAGAAACTTGTCTCCTTCCTGTCTCTCTCAAATCCTCTTCTTTAGCATTAGTGCTGTTTTCCTCCTCTTCATTGTGGTTTTGTATTAAAATGACATTATTTATTAAAGTACACAGAGTGAATTATTTATGCAGTACCTGCAGAAATGACATGGGCATTCTCCAGACTTCCTAAATACATTAGTAAAATTATGCAGAACTGCAAGCTGGTGCTGCCATGTCTTGCTGTCTCAGTCTTGAGACAACATGTATGGAGAACTAAGTTTCGAGTGTTTGCAGGACCACTCTCTGGATGTCATGCAAAGTGAGCCTTTGATGGGTGGGAAGAACAAAGTACAGGGCTGGGGTGTCAGTGATGCTTCTCCATGTTTCTCCCTGTAGCCACAGTAACAGTCACAGTGGCTGACAGAGGCAGGAGGAGAAGTCAGCCTGCTCACAACCAAGCCAAGCCATGTTTTTCCTGATACTCCTTTTATTGATCTTCCTGAATGTGTTTTGAGAAAACCTAAGAAAGCTCTTCTCCTGTAGACGGGTCTGCTGAAACCAGTGGAGTAGCTTAGGTGTGAGGAACTGTGCCAGCCACCCTTTGTAACAGGAGGCCGTGCTGGTGGAGAAACAGAAGTGACATCATCCTATTTGACTGTGTGTTTGTGTCTGTCTCTCATTTCCATCTCTTCCCTCTTTCCCCACTGTATCCTTTGAGTCCACTAGCCAGCCTCAATGGAATTTGACAGCAGGGCAGAGGTATTAGCAATATTCCTTAGGGAAATAAAATAGAGAAACGTTTAGGCATGTAGGCTTCCAGGAAGAGCAGAAATGTGTCTGTGCTCCCTTTAAGGGCAAGAGTGCATCAGCAGCTCAACCTTTCTTAGACACCAGAGAATAAGTACGTGCACTTATCCTTGAGATGCAATTCTAGGAATATAGGCTTCATTGCTTTGGGACTGTTGGCACGAGTGGTCTTACTGCAGTGCTAACACCAAGGATGCATCTAGCCCATTAAGTTTTGTGTGCTCACTAATCGACAGAACACACACAGATAATGTCCCTAACTATTTTTCTGCTTGGGGGAAAAAAGACCCTACAACCATGCTTGGTATCCTCTGAAGTTCATTCCTTTCATGCTTCCCACAGTCTCAGATCTTCACTCTGGTGAATTAGCTGTTCTGTCTTTGCTCCAAAAAGTGATTCGTAACTAAAGCACTTTTGTAATAGCACTTGGTGATACCTCATGCAGTCATTTTCTAAAGGCAACCTGAATTATTTAGTCCACAGAACAGTTCATTTGATCAGGTCCCCATATTTCTCCCCCCCACCCCCGCACCTCCCCATTTCTGGGATACTTCTTGGAATACTTGTGCGATACTCAAGAACAGGTTATGACTAACCTGATTCCCTGAGGAAGTAGGCTGAGATAATTCAATAGTGCAATCTGATAAAGAAATCTGGACTCATTGTCATGGTTTATGGACTCAAACTCTCCTGATCGTACAAAATAATTCTTGGTACTTGTTTTAAAAATTCTTTGATAGCATCTTATTCTTAGGAAAAAGTTACTACAAACTCTGTTAGGTTCATGTACTAGAATACTTCAGTGTACTTCACCGAATCTTTTCTTTAAAAAATATGGTCTGGTTAAAACAAAAATTAATTCAGAAAATCCTAGTCTGTCTCACAAAAGACCAGAAGATCAGAGTGGTCCCATCACACCTTGCAATCTCTGCATGTAATGAATATAAAGTGTCTGCCAAGTCATGGGCGGATAAACTCAAGTCTGTTAAGATAATATCCGTATGTCTGATGCATACCCCGGGATGTATGTGATAATTATCAGTGTGTTCCAGAAACGCAAAGGGACAGAATTTTGAGACCATGAAGATGGCACTCAGCTGTTTTGTCCAGATGAACTGTATTTGTCTTTTTCCTTTTTTCCCACCACCAGCAAACTACCTGTTAATTCTTCAAACTTCATTTTGAAAAGTAAAACACTGGAAAATGAAGAAATTAGTAAGCTTTTTTAAAAGAAGTTTTCCTGAGGCTTTCTGTAAAAACGCAGCCTGTTTAGGCTCCTTCTCGTGCATATGGTCCTATAAAGCATAAGAGTTTATTTCACTGCTAGTGAAGTGGCCAACTAACAGTTCACATATCCTTAAAAAATATTTCCAGAGATAAAAGCCACTGAGTTATGCAGGTGGGTGGATTAGAGTTGATTTGACAGATTTTACGCTGGTGTGTACAAGAAAACTCGCCATGTGAATGTAGCCTCACCACTGAAAATAAAAGCTGTAGTTGCAATGAAATGTGCCGAAAATGAGTGGAACAGAAAACTGGACTCCCTGCTTACCTTGGACTGTAGGCAGTGAACGTTTACTTCTACAAAGCAAATCACCATTTTTTGAGGTCCTTTCTGCAGTACCGGTGTGCACAGAACTTAATGTTGGAGTTCAAGCGGTCACGCTGGCTTGTGTACGGATTTCTGTTTAAAAAAAGTCACAAACTCTCTGTTTCTCTTCTACAGGCTTTAAACAGTTATAATCAAGGAGATATAGAAGGGTCAAAAAGACTGGGTCGCAATGCACTCTGGGTTGCTGTTGCATCAATTATCATTGGCCTTGTCATCATTGGAATCTATTGCGTAGTTCATTTCACAACGGTAAGCCAAATGCTGCTAGTTCCAATGCAGGCGGTTCTTCTCTGTGCACGGGCTTCAGAATAAGAAAGTAAAGATTGTCAGAGCTGTGTACTAATGTTAAGATGTAGGGGTGCATGCATGTTTTCCTCAAGGGCCATTTTGACTTATTTTGCAATTTAGAAAATTCTGTTGTCTGTGACTAAATGCAAGCGGCTGTGTCTTGGTAGCAGTGGATTTTCTAGAAAGTCTTGCAGCACCCACGGGTTTTTCCAATTTAGGCCAGTTGCTTCTTGGTTTTTCTGCCCCTCAGTTTCACCGTCTGCAAGACCAAGTGCACAGAGATCCTTAGCTTTCAGGTAATAGTGTCCCCAGGTGCTAAATTTCAGTTTCATAATCTGTCCAACATATCTTTTAACTTTGCAAGGAGAAGATGACAGTCAATTACTGTTTTACTGCTTGATATTAAGGTGACCATAACTGTATCAAAAGTGACCACAAATGTAATTTTGACTTGGCTTGCTGTGGGGTAAGGTTGTTCACTCTCAGTGCTGTGTAGCTGGCCTACCTCTGTACACCTGGAACAGCAGCGAAGAAGCTCGATGAATCTCTGTGTACACAGGGGTCGCCCAGGTGGATTATAAGCTTATTTGGAAAAGAGGACAAAAGTAGTTAGGGTATTGATACCCTTTCTTAAGCTTGTGCAACCATAGTAATATGCACTTCCCATTAAAATAACAGATTTAAATCCATTTATTATTGGCTGTTTTGGTTGAAGAGCCTTTCAGCGCGCTGTACAAACTTATGTATAAACGATAAACAGAGATCACCTCATCCACTACTGAAATGCAGACATCTCCAGGGAGTGGAATGGAGTGGCCGCTTAAACACTGCAACATTTTCAGCTAAAACCTTGAAGTACGCTGCAGTGAACTGCAGGGAAGTTGTTGGAGATGGGGTCCATTTCTGTAGGATATTAGTGGATGGTGCCACAGCATCAGTACAGTCATCAGTTTCCCATGCATTTTGCCAGCATGAATCTCTCTCTGGTTCAGCTTGTGTTCAGTTTGTTCAGCCCTCACAGATTTAAAACCAAGTCACTGCAGGCGGGGTGTGCCAAGTTTTGTAATTGACAGCAGCAGTAGATTCCTCTGTTCGCTTCTGCTACCTTACTCATCATTTCTCAGACAAGGATAGCAGCTCAGTAATTTTTTTTTTTTTAAGTAGGAGAAGAGAAGGGCAGCGTGAGGAGCAGCAGATAACACTGACCCAAAGCATTCACATTAACCAGGGCACCCTACCTACGTTTAGTTGTGGTCCACATTTCACTTCCACTACAGTAGGACCCTGCGTGCTGAACATGTGAATGCTTCTTTGTCCCCACTGCCAGGTATCAGTGGTAGTTAGCACTTCATATCTAGCTAGTGTTTGAAGGCACCTGTCTCTCTCCTACCCTCAAGGAAGTAAGCAGCAGTAGATCAATATATTGCGACTTTGTTTTTTCTTAAGTTTTGTCTTTTGAGGATTTTTTTTAAATTGGTTTTGGGTTTTTTTTTAAGAGAAAAATCTCTGTGTGAGATGGAAGCATTGCCAGGTACCTGGGAACCCTCAGTACACTCCTGGGATATTAATTTCTGTATTCAGTCAACAGATTCCATAGAGGTCTCTTGGCCAAATGGTACCTTGAGTTTCATCAGGACTCAAGGTTTACTGGATTCACCCTGCTCTCTGGCTTTCTAGTCTCTTTACTACTCCCCTTGTCCCTCTCACCTGTCACCCTCCAAACAGCCCTTGCTTCTAAGAAAGTGTTTGACGGGAACGACAGTCTTTATTCTTCTGTTGTGAAAATGAGTGAACAGAAGCACCCAACTGGCCTTTGCACCCTCCGTGCTTACCTGAGTCCCCTTTGTTGCTTTACTCTTGGGCATTTATATTTTATACTAAGCTGCCTTCGAGTTTGACATGCCACTGTTGTGGATGGCTTTGCATGCTCCATGCAGTTATCTCGCATCCATTTGTACCTTGGTCATGATTATTTACTAACAGCCACTTCGCACTCTGCTACTGTGAAGTGATTGTAAATTACTTCTATGCTAACATTAATACATGTCCTTTGGTGTTAGTAAGTAGCCTTAATAGAATACTATGACAGTCAGCCCTGTAACTGATTTATTTGGTTACCATTAGGCACAGATTTGATGTTTCCATGACCTACACGTGCATTTTTCCTGAAAGTTAATGTAGACTTCAGCAATGTGTATGAAAAACTTGACCCTTCCAGGATTCATTACTGTGTGTTTTATCCACATGAAATTCATCAGCTACTATATTACCCAGTTGCTCCTGCTGCCATTCCTTGTGGCTTCTTTTGGTCTTCAGAGGATAACAAGTCCCATTACAAATTACCACTGGGAGTACCCCCTTGCGTTCTCCTCCCTAGAGCTTGTTGTTGACCATCCTACAGTCCCATTTCTAATCCGTGCTAGTACTTTATCTGTTTTCCCATGACTGCTAGAGCTTCTCACAGAGGGTGTTACTTGAGTATTCATAAACCCTTTGATAAGTTTCACTAGCTCATTCTGATTTATCCATGGTCCTGCTGACGGTATCAAAGATACAAGGTGTAACGAGTTGGAGAGCTGGATGTGCCTTGGGACTTCTTCCACAACGTCCCAAGTCTGAGCTTCTGGAAAGCAACAAACCTGCGACTTCCAAGTCAGGTTGGCAGGAGGAAATCTCTATCAATTGTTACACAGCTTTTCCTCTTGTACAGAAACTTGGTTCAGGCTTAGCTGGCTCTCAAGTCTGCTTCAAAAGAACTCCTCACCTTCTCCCAGGGGGCTGGCTACACATGTCCTGGAGGATCTGCAGGCCAAGAAGGAACCTTCCGTCTCCTGCCAGAAGTCACAAACTTCAGGCCTTCCCCATCATGGAAGTCTCCATTCAGCTCTTGTTCAAGCGTAGTCTTCAGTTGTTCATCCTTTGCTTTGTGGAGCTCAGGCACTCTCCTCTGCAGAGTCTCTGTGGAGACCCTGTTGGTCTCCTGTTTGTACACCCTGATGGTCTGCAGTCTGCTCGCCTCCTCCTGAAGCCCTTTTACCTGGAGACTTGGTGCTTCAGTCAGACTACAGTTCCCACCAGAGAGGCCACCAACGTCCCAGCCCCAAAGACAGGCAGCAGTCACTCACCAAAGCTGCAACCTGGGCAGCGACGTCCTCCTTCTGAAGCTCCATCTGGGTCAAGGCATCCAATATGCCAGGCAGTTGCTCCAGCAGTTTTGGGGACGGTGCCCTGCAGCTTATCACCACCACTGTTGCACAGTCCCAAGCAGTCCCTTGGTGTCTTCAGCAGAGTTACTGGATCTCCTTCTGTGCAAACTCACAACTTAATTGCTAAAAACCTTCTTTGCCACTTTTGAGCATCTCTCATTGAAACCACTGTGAATTGAGCACTGAAATACTTCTCCATCTCCAGACTCGATTCTTTCAGTGTTCACTGGAAAGTAATTTCCTCTCTATGAATGGTATTTCTAGAAGACCAGTTCAATGAGGTCAGTGCCTAACCTGCTGCATTTCAGTGGCCTCTAGTATGAAAACCCACATGCACTATTAAAAATGCCAACCAAAGTTATCCATTTGGTCCCACATCTCCTCTTCTAGCTTTTCAGTGCCCAAACCTACTATGCATTCCATCTTGCTTAGGAAAAGGGTTAAGTCTTGTGCTTTAAGCAGAGCTGAGGAGGGCTCCCATGGTATTCCATGTGCCTCAGCCAGGAGAAAAAGGTCTAGTCAGGGGTGTTAATGGTAGAAATGGTAGAAGCTACAGAGAGAGGAAGTGCAAGAGACTCCTGTTTTGAACAAGCAGCGACGTTATACCCTCAGTTGTACCCCAAATAATACTGGTAGAGTCAGGAAGAGGAAGACCCTTTCACTTTTCAGAAAATTCCTACCTCTGATCCCCAGGCTTCCTTGCGTGCCTTCTTTGGTTTATTCAGTTGCAGAGCAACAGTAGCACAGGAATAACAGCGCGCAACACCTACGTCTGCATGGAAGAAACAGCCTTGACTTTTCATTTTGAAGATTTACTCCGTGCTAAGCCAGCTCGGGGCTTCTGCTGCTGCCTAGGAGAGCCTCATTTGTCTTTTAACACTGGCATGTTATCTTTAGCAAACATATATTAAGATATATAGTGATACATACATATATATAGCCTGGAACAGGGCCCACCCAACACTTGGGAACCATCTACCTTCTGGAGTCATGACCCTGAACGTAGACAAGGGGAAGCTGTCACTTGCATCACTGGAGTTAACAGCCCAGCAATAAAACTTGCTTGTCTTGATCGATGTAAACTGGTGTGTTCCTCGTCGTGCTGAGGAATCACTGAGTGTTGAGCTGTGCTGTGTGTTGAATCAGGGCTGTCCCTCGTTCCACTCTAGGCCAAATTTATTCTTACTCCATTGTGTAACTTTTACCCTCTCCGCTGAGCTTCTCCTGCACTGCTACCTTGCCAGTCCTGAATGCTGAGTTACCCTTCCACTGCTTGCTCAGACGTAACTTAAACCAGTATTTTTGTCACCACTGACTCTAGCCCTGCCTGTGTGCTCGTAGGCACGTCATCCATCCAAAACTGCAGTGAGAAAAGGGACATACTTGTCTCCTCATCAGGAGACATCGCTACGAACTGCAGCAGGGCAGAGCTGTGTGCCGTAGCCCGCCCGTGGCCTTAATCGGCTGTAATACGTCTGCTTAGAGAGTGAGCGGCAAGACACCTAGTGACAGGCAGCACTCAGCTGTGACCCCCATCCTGAATGCTGCATCTGCTTCTGGTGTCCTCGTCTTAAGGAAGGTGGGGTGTGCACACACACACAAAGAGAGAGAGAAGGGCTGCAAGGTATGAAAAAAAACCTTTATCGTGGACCGACAAAATAGACACAATCTGTTTGGCTTGGGAAAGAAAGATTCGGGAATCGGTAGTTAAAGGCAATGAAATAGAGTGATTAATTGTTGCCTGTTATGAATGAGATGAAGGGCATCAGAGGAAAGCAGCTTTAAACAAGAAGGAAGTACTTTTCCGTGCGGCACACAATTCAGCTGTGGGACTCATTCCTTCTGGTTGCTGTGGATACAAAAAATACAATTGATACGAAACAGCAATGAGTGAAGTTACAAGAAAGAGCTTAAATGCGAAGATGCAGATATAATCTCAGGCTCAGAAAGTTTCTAAGCTGCAGATTGCCAGAGCTGGAAGGCAATAAAGGGAGAAATATCACCCTGGATGTAGCCTTTTCTTATACAGTCAGTCCCTTTAGGCATTTGTTACATGTCACTGTCAGAGATGGGATGCTGCCAAGGTGGCTGTTTGCTCCCACCCAGTACCACTATTCTTAGGCTCCTTCATGAAGCCTGTTAGTGGCCTTTCCACTGACTTGAATGGATTTGGAGTCAGCCTTCCTGTCTCTTCCCAAGTACTTTGATCAGCAAAAGCTAATAATCTTGTCAGTGAATGAGGGCTCTCCAGTAGTTCACAATCTATGTTTTCAGAGCGGTCTCTAAATTTTCAGAGCAGATTGCAAATTCTGTTTTGTTTTGCTTTTTGATAACACAAGACAATTGGTGTCTTTGTATTTCGTTTGAGCCCCACTGGCAGGATTTAGGGAAGCATAGTTCTGGGCTGGAACCTCCTTACTTAAGTGAAGGACACCCCGGGTATCCCGAACTCTTTTTCTTAACTGGATCTCAACATGCCATATTCTACTTCATGCTACCATGGAAATGATGCGTTCTTACTCCATAGCTGGGTTTGCTGCATAGGCTGGCAGTAGTCTGGAACATACTTTTAGCTATCTCTAGTGTCTCAGTGACACTTGACAATGCTGCTCAGGGCAGAACTAGAGCTCACACCAGTTTGGCTTCCCAGTTGAGCCACAAAGCGTATCATATAAAGCCCATATGTCTTTTGTGCACCTGTCTAGTGCTTCTCTGCAGTCTCGGCAAGTAGGAGGGAGTCAAGTAGAAATGCGGAGAACTAGTAAGAGGTGTTAGAATGAAGTAAAGACACAAGCTTTTCTGTAGAGCTCTGACTGAGAGAGTGACAGTTTTGGAGTGAGGAAGGGTAGCCAAAGTACTGAAGGAAAGGAATGCAAGAAACTCCTGCCCATGGACCAGTGTCCAAGACTTTTTAAATTCACATCAGAAGTTCATTGTCTTTGTTTAGCTTGAACCCCAGGGCCACAGGCAGGGTAGAATTACCTCCTGGTAATACTTTATGTGAGAAGGGTGGTCATGTTCTGTGACTTTGGAATTTCATACAAACCATTATGATACTTTAATGCTTTCTTAGAGGAGTGTGAACTTCTGACCCCTTCTTTAATCTCACTTGATCTAGAACTTCACCCAAGGAAGTCACAGAAATACCACCTGTCAGCATGGCTTCGAAGGAAGACAGCCAGCCAGCCAGGCCGTGCAGAAAGTACTAGCTTATACTGTTTCATAATCAGTAGGGTCTTGAATCAAGCATGTGTGTTAAGTAATGCAACATTGGCAATTACTGGTAGAAGGAAAAGGAGTAAGCATTTAGACTGTGCACCAGGGACAGATGTATACATACATTTTTCTTATTAATTTAGAAATAATTGTTCAGGGGGAAAAGATTATTTTTAATATCTCTGCTGTTCCCCTCCTGAGGCTCTCAAAAGCCTTTGCAGCCATTTCATTGAGTGACTGTCTGTCTCTCAGAGACAGAATAAACTGAGGGCTAGTAAAGATGACAGGAATTGCACAGCCAGCCTCCAGATCTTTACACTGTCAGTCCTGTTCTATGTACCTTACCATAGGAAAAAAAAAAGAGTCAAGGAAGACTGCCTGCCTTTTGCTGTAGGGATTGACCTGCCAGTAACTGATAGAGCACAAAGTCTGAAGTCAGGGCATTCTGATTGTCTTTTACCCACGTTAATGCTTGGTGTCCACCTAGCCAGTGAGCTCATACTGCTGCTTTTCTGCCCATAAGGGCACTGATTATCTCCTTGATACCCTACCTCTTTTTACTGGATTTGTAAAAACATAAGTCCTCTACCTGTCTATCAAATGTGTTCGGTCAGCTCAGAGGCTGAGTAGTGGGCAGACACACGTAGGTGCACAGAGGCAATGTGCTTACATCAGCCTCATTCCCTTAGCAAACCACATTAAAAATTCTGGTCCAGTTGTTTCCGCTGTGCATGGAGGAAATGTGCCCACCATAGATTCTGCCCATTGGAGTTCTGAGTAGCATCCAAGAGACAGTCAGCAAAGGAGTTAAGGCTGTCTGCAGAATATATTTACTGTTTAGTGCCTCATGTCCTAGGTCCCTTTTTAAGGGGCTGCTAAAAGGTAGCTGCTTGACAGAGAAGATATCTCAGACTCCAGCAGAAAGCCCAGCATCCAGGGACAAGCCAGTGAGATCAGTACCTCCATGGATAATGTCTGAGACCTGCCCCCAACACAAGAATTTGAGGGAACTTCTCAGATCTTTCCTCTCCTAATGCAGGTGTGCAAGAAAGGTTACCCAGTCCTTTTAAAACATCTCTCCTATATTGCTGTTGTATTTGCCAAGTTGTCTACTGCTGAAAGTGTTGTTCTTGCCTGACTTTTATGTACCGCTTCAAGGAAGCAGAGATGCTGTTGACCTCATGAAACTTTCTCAAATAAGAGCCCATTTCCTGGCAATGAAAGATCCTAACTTGCATTGATTCAGGTAACGCAGTTTAAAAATTCAGTTCAGATTGACAGATGACCAGTGCCATTAGAAACTTAGCTCTTTCATTCAAAACTGTATTGAACCACTAATCTAGAGGGATGTTTGTTAAGGGAACAAGTGCCACTAATGTGGCGTAATGTATCCATTAGATCTGTAGAATTAATAATTTAAACTCACAAGGCAAACTCTCTGTCTTTTCCTCCTTTAAAAATACATATTTCTGTGTCCTTGCAGCATGCTATCTGAAGACCAGGACTGCATTTGGAGGATATCATCATGTAAATCTCAGGAGGGGAAAAAGAAGAAGAGAAGGAAACCCTTCATTCCAGACTGTTAGATTTGACCCTGCAAGTCTGCAGAGGCATGTTGCTGGTGGATGAACTGATAGTCCAGTTAGTTAATCAGCATGACGTGACCAGGTTTTCAAAATCATCTGTTTATAAGCAATCTCAGTATAAAGCAGCATTTTCTCTTTTACCCTAATGTATAATGAAATCTCACCCTAACAACTTCCTTTTCTTTTTCATTTACATGAAGTGTGTGCTGGACCCATGATGTTCCCTGGCTGGCCCTAGCCAGACAAACCCAACATACCTAGACTGTTGATAGTGCACAATGTAAGATCTGATGCACAGCCCGCTGAAGCTAGTAGAAGAACTGCTGTTGCCTCCAGTGGGTTTTGGATCAGGCCATTAAGCATTTTTTTATTACTTTAAAAGAGTCTCAACATAACACAATCATAACCATGGGTTTGTGATTTTATCCTGCTGTGTGATTTTATAATGCCGTGGGCGTACTCTGACTCAGTGGCTGTTTTCTTCTATCATCCTCAGCTTTTAGGGCTTTACCTTGGATTTTTAATCACCTGGGACCGATTTCAATCACTTGATTATTAAGAGACACTCTTCTTCCATAGCATCCGTATTTATTTTTGTTTTGTTGTCTTTCATTGTTGAACTCCCTTGACTCAGCTCCAGTCCTGCACTGATCACGTTTTCCTCTTTAAGCTTCACGTATGTAAAAAGTTCCTATTTTTTTTATCTGACAAAAGATCTTTTTAAACAGATGTTCTTCTTCATCCCTTTGTTATTGTTCCTTTAGAAAGTCACTTAGTTTCATTGTGTTCTGCTTTGTTCATGTCTTTTTTTGTTTAGTTCATCCTCTCATCTTGCTATGAATAGTCTGTATATCAGTGTGGTTAGAGATGGACAGACTTTTGTACCCTTACATAGTTACACTCTTGCTGATCCTAAGATATTACTCAGTGAACAGCCTTAGGTTACAGAATTGATGGCCTCTAAATTACTGCAGTTTCTTGATACCTTGTGAAAATTTAGCATGGGACAGCTGGGTTTTATTAGCCGAAAACTGAAAGAATATATTTGTTTTGTCACACAAGTAGTCCATGTTAAAAGGAGTAAGCTCTGGTGAATGTTAAGACAGGTGTCTACATCTTCAGTGGTTGCTGCTCCATTTGCTTTAATTATTATCTCATCTACAAGCAAGCTATGCCAACTTACACTTACTGTCCTTGCACTAACATAAATCTGGACCAACTACCCAGAAATGCATGAGAGTTTTGCAGGTACACATGAGAAAAGAATCACGCCTGGCAGGAGTACAACTACTTATTAAAAAACCAATAATTTCCCAGAAACCTTTACCTGTTAAAGCGTATGCCTGGAAGTAGCATGTATTTTCTGTGCCTTGATACTATACTTTTAATGTGCTTTTTCGCTTTTCTTTCTGCCAAATTCTGTTTTTCATTGAAGTCAGTGATGCATCTACTATCCTTAATGACTCCAATATAAAACTTCACAAACACTGGTGAAATCAGTTGATTTCTTAAGCATTTACACTGATGGAATTTGTCCACGTGGGAATCTTGCCACTGATTTTGATGATCCCAAGAATTGGCTGTTCTGTGAACTCCTCTTTGATTTTTGAATACTATTTCAATGGTCTGATATGTCTTGTGGGACTTTTAGTAGCTTGCCTTATTATCAGATATGATAGAACTGTCATTGAGAAGTGGAATAAAATTACTTTTAATTCATGTCCATTCTGGTATGTGGGAAGTGTCTTTCCTAACTTTTGTTGCCTCTTCTATTTTAAAGAGTAATATCCCTTTTTCTAACCCCATGGTTTGAGAATAAAGTGAATCAAAGCAAAAGCAGAACTTCTGGCCAGCATGATACCAGTCTGTGCCATAGCTAGTACACTCGGAAGTTGCTAGAGATCAGTTAATGCTCAAAATACCAGCAAGGTAGGCTCTTTGCTTCATTTTTCAAAGTAGCATCCAGAAAGAGTGTTGAGGCCTTTTCAAAATGGTCCCTCAGTCGTCTTTTCGGGGCCTTCCTACCATGAGGGGAAAGTGGTCAAGTGAGGTCACCAGAGGAGGTCTCGCAGCAGGTAACAGAGGTCAGATTTCCACCCCCTTGAGCTGCTGGCATCAAAGTAAACGCTATTGCATTGCTGTAGTAATAGTTTTCTACATCAGTGTACTAAAAATCAAAGCGTGTACAAAAAGTTTCATCCTTCTGCAAAATATTAAACTGCAGTATTGTAAACTAAACCACAGCTAGTGGTGTGAGAGGGGAGAAAGATTTCCAAAGTTCATTTGGGCACCAGAGGGTAGGGATAGGCAACTTGAGGTATTTTTTCAAAGTGCCTAACAAGGATTTAGATCAATAGGAGCTAGACTCCTGACTTGTTCAGATGCTTTTGAAAACCATATTAGAAATCTAACTTGCATCTCGATGCTCATAAATATCTTTGAAGTCTCACTCTTAATATAATTGAGAATTGAGCCGTTGTATCTTCAGGGCTTCTGAAGATAAATGTTGCTACCTTACAGTGCTATTGATTGGTATAAAAATAAAGGCTTTATATTAAACCACTTAATGTGACAGAGAGGGGAAAATGCAGCAATTCCTCTAATGTCCTTTAGTGCCTCTATGTCATAGGTAATCTTACTTTTGCTTTACTAATGTACTGGTATCGGTTCTCTTCATTTATTTATGTTTACATAAATTTTCAACCATGTTTGAGAAATGCAGTCAAACACAGCTTGTGCTGGAAATTAATATGGTCCTTGTACAACCAAATCATTCTGTTGTAGGTGTGACAGACCCAGATACAAAGTGAGGTGTCAGACATAGGGAAGCTAAATGACATTTTACTGCCCAAATCAACAAGACCCTTGGTGACAGCGGTGGGTGTGGAAGGCAGAATGTAGCTGCCTGACTGAGGAATTGGTGCCTGCTTTGTATTTTGAGGGCATAGAAACAAATTTCATTATCTATGACGGCTCTGGAAATTACCTGTTCTTCATCGTCATCCATCTGTTTGGATTTGGTCCATTATTATTCTGCATTGCACCTACCGTTTTTTGGTGGGAGGAGAAAAAAGAGCTGTCATATGTGTGTGCTAAATGAAGTTATTTCATTAAATTAGCGGGGAGGGAGAAGCAGTAAAACATATTTCAGCTCAACATCTGTGTCCCAGGGAGGTGAACAGAGTCTGTCTTCCACAAAGCTGCTCCAGGCTTCCGTTTTTTGATGCAGTCTTCCTGCATGCTGAAGGCACCAACTCATGCCTGAAGTCCAGCTCTCTTTTCCTTCCTGCATGTATTACAGGCAGAGACAGATGGAAACTTGAAATTGCTGGCCTCAGCTCCTGGATCGTGTTAGCATCTTTCGCTTCTTACAGGGCAGCTGCATTCTGCAAAACAGCAGTGTGCATGTATCTTGATACGTAACCCTAGAAGAGGGCTTCTAAATATAAGAGGAGTTTCTTTGCTGCCGTATGAAGGGGGTCAGCCAGACGCTTAAACAACACGCGGTGTAGGTTTCATCAGATTGCACGGCAAAAAAAAAAAAAAATCAAGGGGACAATGTGAAATCAAATTCTTAGGGTGCCTCCCTGCAGGCACACCCAGGAGTTTACAGCTAGTCACTTGAAGATCAGCACTGGCTCTTCAATTATGTGGTTGCAACCACAATCCATGAACGGTGTGGCTCAAGGCTCCAGAAGCTGTTGCTTTTGTTGCCTGTGTTTTGGATTTGTGCTCACAGTGTGAACTGTGTTCTGCCTCTCAGGCTGGAGACAGGTTGTATCCGGTTGCTACCACAGTGTCCATCGCTCTCAGAATCAGTCCAGGTGCATCTGCTGGAACAGTGTGCAAGCATCTCTCTCTAGGCTCATTTCCTTACCTGGACCTTAACTTTGTCTACCGGTTATTTAGGATGGATTTTGTTACTGATTTTGCATCAGCACGGGAGAGACGGGGTCATCTTCCCAGTTAGTTTTTACTTTGTGGGCATCGTGTGTGCACACGTGCACAAGAGGATGCATTTGAAGGACTGGATTCCCCAAGGCAAGTAAGATTTAGATACAAAGTCAGTCACTGGGTTGATTTGGGGCCAAGCTGGTAAGTCACATCCTGGTTACCCGACAGCTGTTCAGGTGGAGGGAAGAGTCCATATTGCCAAACCTTCACTCCTGATAATGGGGTAAACGAAGAGGAAGTTGAATAGATGTGGAACCTACCCCGGACTTTGGAGATGCCTCCAGGCAAAGTCAGAGACATCAGAAGGCCTGTGCAGGGGAGTCTGCATGGCTGCTGCCTAAGCCACAGCTCTTCTGAGGCTGAGCCCTCAGTCTTTCACGGGCAGTACCTTCAGGCTGAAACACAACTTGAACGTTGGTTTCCTCTTACTATCCTCCCATCTCCAACCTCGTTTTTAACTAGTAGGTCTCTGGAGGTGTGCAGTGTTATGTTGGAGCAGAAGAGTTGAGAAGGGCTGCGATGGTCTATGAGTGATTTTTATGTGCACTCACAATTTTACGTCTCCCAAGCGCAACGGCATGTTCTGCATGCGCGGCAACGGCATGTGTCCCTGAAATGTGAGTGAGCCTTCAAGGAGGCTGCCCAGCTTCCTCTGCATCGCTCCCTGGCAGCCTGGCAAGTGGGCTAAATTCAGAAGTGACCTAAATGGAGGAGGGGGTTTGGAAACAGATCACTCAGCCAACGTAAAGATGGAAGAACAAACTTGGGAGCCCAAGGTTATAGTAAGAAATTTAGCCGGAAGGTTTCTGCAGTTAAACTCGTCCTGTTGTGAAGTCTAGGGTAAGTTCTGCTGCTGCTGCTGCCACCTAACTCGCTCTCCGTGGCACAGAAGCTACAAGAAGCACTTGCTCATGCGTCCTTTACAACGTGATTGATGGCATGTCTGAATTTGATCTACCAGCTCATGACTGAGTCTGGCTCTTCTGTTTGTCATATCTAGCTGTAGGGCTGAGTCAGCTTCCACTTTGCTTGCAGCGACTTCTCTTTGGCTAAGTAAGCTTGCATCATGTCAAGGAAAAAGAACTTTTCCAGATATCAGCGGATTCATCAGGACTTTAAACCGCACAGTCTCAGATTTGAGGCCGCTGCGTTTCTTTTTCAACACATACTCTGAGGTAAGAGAAGGGGAAACTCCCACTGAAATTAAGGGATGCACACCAGAGCAGGCTGTGTGGTAAAGGTGAGCCATGGCAGCCTTGTGTACACATATCTCACCCAGTGTTCAATCGGGGCTTAACTGCCTTTTGATTTTAACCAACTCCAGGAGATAATCCAAACAATGGAAATGAGATTGTGGCCTAAAGCACAAGTGGTTGGTGAGTGTTCCCCCTTCCTTGGCGCTAGCACAAGAGTTTAGCTTTGAC